TTAGTGTTGTATACACGTTAAGGGAAGCTTGTTTCCCTTGGTTGTACGAAGGAAAGGTATTTTCCTTCGGGTTGAAGTCTTGGAGTGCGGTATCTCCGAGCAAGGTTGTTGAGGCTCGTGGGACTCGAGTTCTCAGGTTGTAACGGTTTGTTAAGCACCCGTAAGCTTAACGGAAGTAGTGTAGCTCGAGAGAGTCTCTCGGGAGACTGGATTAGCCACACGTTGTGGTGAACCAGTATAAATCTTGGTGTGCTCCCTTTACGCTTTCTACGCTCTTTACTTTTCACGTTCTTAATTTTTTATTCCTGCGATTTCTACGATCAAACTCTATTCACCCCCCCTCTAGCGTTGGTCACTTATTCTAACACAATTTTCGTCACGGATGCGTTCCAAAATGGATGGCAAGGGTTGGGAGAGGGCCATGATATCAGCCGTCGTCGTGGGCGGTATGTCAGGCTGATCCCGGCGTGATAAAGCATCGGCAACGGTGTTGGAAGACCCAGGTTTGTACAAAATCTGAAAACGGTAACCCAAGAGCTTACGAACATAGAATTGTTGGTCTGGTGTCTGGATTACCTGCTGCAAAAGTTCCTTTAAACTCCGCTGATCTGTGCAAATGATAAATTCCCGCCTGAGAAGATACTGACGCCATTTTTGGACGGCCTCCACAATGGCGTTAAGTTCCTTATGATACGTCGACGCCGTCCGTCGTCGGGGGCCCAATTTCTTGCTAAAATAGGCAATCGGCTGTTCTTCCTGGAGGAGGACCGCACCCACACCCACATCCGAAGCATCTGTATCCACCACAAACATGAGGGAAAAATCGGGCAGGCGAAGGAGTGGCGCGGTCGTGAGGGCAGTTTTTAGCCCCTCAAACGCTGTGGACGCCGCCTCTGACCAATGGAAGGAGTCTTTTTTGAGGAGATCTGTCAAGGGGGCTGCGAGCTGTCCATAATGCCGGATAAATCGGAGGTAATACCCCGTCAAGCCCAAGAAACCCCTTAACTGTTTGAGCGTAGTGGGAAGAGGCCAGGCCGACATTGCTTCGACCTTTGCGCTGTCTGCCTGGAGATGCCCGTTGCTAATAACATGGCCCAGGTACTCGATGGAGGTGGAGCCGAAAGAGCACTTTGATAATTTGATGAAGAACCGGTGCGTGAATAAGAGCTCTAGGACGGCTTCCAGATGACGACTATGAGTATCCAGAGAGGGGCTGTAGACCAAAATATCATCAAAAAAGACGATGACAAATTTCCGTAAGTAGAGGGCGAAGACCCGATTCATACAAGCCTGAAATGTGGAGGGAGCATTGGTCAATCCAAACGGCATGACACGGAACTCATAATGACCCTCGTGTGTACGGAAAGCCGTTTTGTAGATGTCCCGCTCATGCATGCGAATTTGGTGATACCCGGAGCGAAGGTCCAATTTTGTGAAATAACGAGCGGAGCCGAGTTCATCAAACAGTTTGGTGGTCCTAAAGTGGTGAAATACAAAGTCTAGAGGGGGGGGGGTGAATAGACTTTGTTACAGATTTAAAATCTTTTTCGTTTCTTTTGAAAACGTGAAAATAAGTGTTAATCTAGAGTTCTTGTGAACTTTAGATTGTGTGCGGAATTTGGTGGGTAGAGTGAGCAGTAATCAATATGGATGGGTTAGTTTTCACAGTTAATATAATTGCGAGTAAGAGTAAAGATAAAAGAGAGAGACACGCAAACTTTAACGAGGTTCGAAGGTGGGGTAATCCTTCTACGTCCTCAAAATCCACTATGTAGTTGGTTGTTGAATAATGAACCAACAATTACACTTGTGTGAATTTCTGCACAGTATATCTTCGCAAGGCCAATGTTGCTACTGCACTCGTGCTGGCTTTGTTGTTCCTTCGAAGGTCAAGCTTCTTCAACAACTGCAACGTCCGAACAATAGGACTTGCAAGATCAACTTGTAAGAAAGTTGACCTACCCCCTTTCAATCAAGAAGTTTGATCAAAAGTTGTATCCTTCAACGTGGTGTGGTACTTGAGGCAAGGAAACCTTCAAGTGTTTGCACTATAGCTCTTTGGAAGGAGGAGGAGTTTGCTTTTGGGTAAGGAGTTTAGAAATCTCTCTTTATCAAGCTTTTTGGGTTAACTGTGACTGAGATAGCTTTGTTGTTAGAGATTGCTTCGTTGTGTTGGTGTATCACGTCTCTATTTCTCCAGTCTTCCAAGGATGCTATTTATAGCTGGATTGGATAATCTATCCGTTGAATCATAATAGACTATCCGTTGCATTTGCTGGCTTCAGTTTTGAATGAAGATTGTGATTTGAAGATTCCTCATTGGAATGGGTGTTTGGACATACCCAATTGTTTGAGGAGGGATTCCTTTTTCCACAGAATCCGTCTTCTAGCTGTTTTTCAAGAATTCAAGACTGTAGCACTTTACTCTGTTTGTCTTCTAGTGCTTGTTTAGGAATTCTGGGCAGGCTCTTTAATTTTAGAGGTCCAGACTTTGTCTTCCAGTCATTTGTTCTTGAATCAGCGTAATTATCTTCAATCTAGCCGTTGAAAATCAAGAGATTGATCTTTCCTTACCAACGGGTAGAATTTCTTCATTCAAGACCTAGATAATTTTTCTAAGTCTTTTCTCACTTGTCCGCTTTCTGAGAATTCCGGTCTTCAATGAGTCTTCCGATTCTTAGCTGACAAATCCGGAGGAGTCATTCTCAGACTTCCGCGTGAGAAAGAGATCCGCGCTAGTCTTCCGATTTGGATGACTTAGCCTTCAGCGGGTTGTAGCGAGACATCCGATTCTTATGTAATCTTCCGGATCAGAGGATTTTCATTTGCTTGAGAAATCCTTACTTGTCTCTGACATTTCCGATCAAGATATCCAATTTCCATATCACTGAATTTGATTAATTCTTCAGTCATCAAAACGCTTAAAGAAATATCACAGCTTTATTGGAAATCTCAAGAACTCGGTTTTAACAATATTTCTAAAAAGAAAAATTACATTGAATATTGGGGGAGACCTAAATTCCCTATTACATTCTAAATACATCATCATCAACATCTATAATATTTTTCCCAACACAGTTCATCGGCCGTTGGGATCGGGAAGTGGTCGGGGACAGTGACGGAATTCAAGGCGCGATAATCCACGCAGAAACGGTATGTGCCGTCTTTTTTCTTAACCAATAGCACCGGCGAAGAGAACGGACTTCGACTGGGCTGAATCAACCCGGCCTCAAGCATGTCTCTGACCATCCTTTCAATTTCATTTTTTTGAAAATGGGGATAGCGATAGGGTCGCACATTAACAGGTGCTGTCCCGGATTGAAGAAAGATCCGATGGTCATGGTCACGCCAGGGTGGGAGCCCTGTGGGGACGCCAAAAACAGTCGTATAACGCTGTAACACAGCCTGAAGTACGGTTGGCAGGTCTGTTGGCCAGAGCAGTGAATCGCCCCCCTGTAGGTTCGGAGACCGGGGTGATTTCGAAGCATTCGACTACTTCCTGGCGTGCTTGAAGAGACTGGAACTGATGCAAGGATATTGGCCGTGGTGTGGTTGTTCCCCCTTTCAACGCAACCCGTGATCCTTTCCACAAAAACTCCATAGTGAGGTGGGCATAGTCGTGGCCGGTGACCTTACCTAATACTTGAAGCCATTGGACCCCAAGCACCACATCGGGTCCGTGAATCGGAAGCACAAAAAGATCGACCGGGAAGGTCGTGCCCTGCAAAAGAAGAGAGACGTTACAGCACTGGCGATCGCAAAGGAGGGAAGCCCCGTTGCCAACATACACTCGGAAAGCTGGGATATCAGAGACGGGTAAACACAGGCGCTCCACCACCGTGGGTTGGATGAAGTTGTGGGTGCTGCCACCGTCAATAAGAACGTCCACAACTCCTTTAGAAAGCACGCCTGATAGACGCAATGAGCGGGGTGTTAGTGGCCCGGCTAAACTGTGGAGGCTTGATACGTCGGCCGTGACGACATTGTCATCGGGATCCTCCGGTGGCGAGTGCTCATCCCCCTCGTCATCTTCCAAGAGCAAAAGGAAACGTCCGCAGCGATGGCCCTTAACCCACTTTTCATCACAATTATAACACAAGCCTTTGGCATCGCGTTCTTTTTTCTCAGCATAGGTGAGCTGGCGGATAGGATGGGTTGGATGGGACTTGTTTTCGGTGACCCCTGTCGGTGTAGGCAGCAGTGGTGTGGCCGTAGGAGTCGTCGGAGCTTTTGCCGGTGTCCACACTGCCTGGCGTGATGGATACCGCGGCTGTAATGAAGTAGCCCAGGCGGCATGCTTTGCTTCCAACTCTCGAGCCAAGGCAAAGGACATCGAAATAGAAGTGGGTTTCTGCAAGAGGATCTCGTGCTGGAGATGCGGCTTCAACCCGGCATGGAAAAGAGACTGGAGATTAGATTCATCCACGTCAGTAACATTAACCAAAATCTTTTCAAAAGCCTGCTGGTAGTCAAGAACCGTCCTGGTTTGCTGTACTTTGGACAAGAGGCCGAGATAGTCAACATAATTAAGGGGGTCGAAGCGGAGTTTAAACTTAGTAACAAAGTCCGCCCACGACTCCAAAAGGTGGTTACGTTGTCTCCAACGAAACCAGTCCAAAGCCGGACCTTCTAACATCAAGCACACGGCCGACAAGCGGTTCTCCTCGGGCACCGCGTAAAAAACAAAGTACTCGTGTGCCTTAAATAACCAGCCCAAGGGATCGGTACCGTCACACTTCGGCATGTCGAGTTTGAGTTTGGTCATCGGGTTTACCTGGCCATGATCATGAGGTTGCCGTAACTCGCGCACATGCTTCTCGGTTAGTGTCTCCGCGCGTAGGGTCCCCAAATCCAACTGCATCTGTTGCACAGTGTGATGCAATTGCTGGAGTGCCCGACTAAGTTGATCATCTATTTGCTCCTGAAACTCCCGAAGACAAGCAGCGGTGATTGGTGTTGATGAATCCGCGGCCATGAGAACGAATCAATGAGAGCACCAGTGATAAGAACGATCACAACGGTGAAACTCGGAGTGTTCCCTAACTCCCTGTGGTTCGGCTGAAGAACACCACAAGCAGAAGACCGCCACACTTCCGGAGGTTGTGCGCGGCTAGGAGAGAGAGAGAACGAGACAAGAGGTTTAGGGTTTTTAGGGTTTTACGTTTATTGATAATCTTCCAAGGAATGGATACATCTCTTTATATAGGGAAACCCTAATCCTATTTAACTATGTTTTCTATCCTGACGGTTCAAAAAAAGCGACGA